TATACTAGACTTATAATTTTTTACTTGGTTAGTAGAACTATTAATAACGCTCTGGGAAAAGTCAAGTTTACGCGAATTCCAATCTATTCGAGGGTTATATTTTTCTAGCCAGGATAAACCTAAAATAACTAGATTGGACGGGGATTTAATTATGTTAAAAGCTATGTACCTATCATGACCATCTATTGTTAATTTTATAGGATGAGTTTCATGAGTGACATCTCCAGAAGACAAGGGACGACCATCTATGACTTCTACATGTACTGGTTTAGGTTTCTGTACAAAGGGTATTTTACGACTTTTAATAAATTGTTCATCTAAAAAACATGCTGAGGCTCCCGAATCTAATAAAGCAGAGGCTTTGTAATTCTTAGGTCCTAAATATAAGTCTATTATAAAACAAGGAGAGGGTTTTGAGGAGAGGATAGGACCTTCATTAGGAATTGTACAAGGTTCCAGCTGCACGGTCCCTATTGTAGCTTGACGAATCCGTTTTCCGACATGTTGTCTTCTTTGACCATCATACCCCTCATTTTATAGTTGCGTCGTTTCTTTAGACAATGTTGAGCAGTGTGCTTAGGTTCTCCGCAATATAAACATAATCCTTCTTGACGACGACGAATCTTTTCTTGCTCAGTTAGGGGTTTAAAACGTACCGCATCAATTTGCATGTCTTCTACTTCCAAATGTACATTTGGCAAAGATGTTGATGTTGCCATTGAGTAATAATGTTGAGGTTCCCGTGAATGATTCTCAGATCGAAATTCGAAAAGTCGATTATCACATTTTACCGCAAAATCGATTGCTTGACTCAAAGTTTGAGGATCAGGTAAGTTGAGCATCAATTTCTTTACTTTGTACTGCAATCCATAAAGAAATTGACTAATGAGTGCAGCATCATCCCACTTGATGTCAATTGCAAGTTGTCAAAATTGTGAAGCATACACTATTACTGAGCGATTTTCTTGTCGCAGAATTCGGATCTTATTTGTTGCAACACGAGTTGCATCGTGTTCACCATACATAGATCGAAACTCCGCCAAAAAAGCTTCCAAATTATCCAATATTGGATTTCGTTGTTCAAGAAAAGACGAAAACCATGATAATGCAGAACCAGAAAGTAGAGTGCCAATAAACCTGACTTGTGATCCTGGAGTTGGATAGCTTTGCGGTTGAAGTTCAATTGCCAATTGTACTTGATTGATGAATCCTCGAAACTTAGATCTCGTACCATCAAATTTCTCGGGTAAGGCAATTCTTGGTTCTCTAGTGCTTACAGGATGTTGTACAATTGGAGAAGGAACGTGATTTGTTGTAGATGTTGAAGCAGCTCCGATCATCTCTATATCCCCACTTTCTGCTATTCTTGTTCTTTCATGTGTTGGTGAATTGAGTTGATGCATCGCAAGCATTAACTCCCTCATTTGCTCTTGCATTTGTGCCATTGCACTCTTCATTTCAACAAGCTCTGCCATAATGACACTAAGAAAAATTTGTTTGATACTGCTCAAGACAAAAGAAAAGAAAGACTTGATAACAAAGAAGATACTAAGAACAATATCAGTTTAGAAGTGGGTAATCCGTAAACTTCTAATACGCTTATGTCTTGTCAAGAGAAAGGGGTAATCCACTCTCACTCAAGAAAAACAAAGCTCTGATATTGTAAGTGTACTCTTGTCAATCTGTCAAGGACAAAGACTCGATGAGGGAAAATATACACAAAAAGGCTATCTCGATATAATAAGTCAAAATATAAACAAGTATGTATTTTAAAAGGAAACTGGAATGACTATTGCCACAAGACAAGAAACTAATGACTCTTAAACCTGGACTAGAAGCAAGAAAGGAGTTGACAAGAGTAAAGAAGCCTTCACTCTTGTCTCTATATATACTATCTAACTAGGGGTTACGTGGCGACGTTCTATAGGACCTCCAATATGTGTTGACTTTGTAGGACACATGCCTTGACTTACAAGGCAAGTTTTTCTATGTGTGGGCCACATAGTTACCTTGATCTTCAAGCTAACAACATGTGTGGCACATGGCCAACTTGTTGACCACGTTTCTAATCCAAAAAGTCAATTAAAGACACCTATGAAGTCAAAGCAGCGTCTAGGAAGTTTCTAGGAAGCTTTTATATTAAATATTATAGAATTAACTTACTTTTATCTACTTTTACTTACTTCTACCTATTTCTATATGTAATTATTAGCTTACATGATTATGGCCGTGACAGTACTTGGCCAATAAGTTAACCATGTGTTGCATGTGTTAGTAGCTTGTAGTATAAGCTAACCATATGGCGCACATATAAGAAACTTGCTTTGAAAGTTAACACACGTGTCTTGCAAATTCAACATGTGTTGGAAGTCTTATAGAATATTGTTGTATAGTTCTTAGTTAGATAGTATATGCGGAGGGAAGAGTAAAGCCTTCTTTACTCTTATCAATTCCTTTTTAGTCCTTAGTCTTGTTTAAAGTCTTTATAGTCTTCTTGTCTTTAGTAATAACCATTCTATTTTGAATACTATATTGGTTTTGAGTAAATATTCACTCTTTTTCAGTGATACAAGAGTATATTGAATATTTATTTGTTTAAAATTCATATCATTGACAAACTTTTCTTTTTAAATGTCATAAGATTGTGATTACTTCTTTAGACTTTTGTTATGATTGATGTCATTAATAAGTATGCATCTCTATGAATACTCTATGTAGCAAAAGCTCTTGATTAAGTTGGATGAAATAGATATGATTGTTGATATCAAATTATCATTAAAGCTCCAAAAAGAAGAAGTATTATATATCACATAGCTATCTAAAGCATTTTTAGATGGTTTTTACAATGAAATTATATATCTATGCAATAAATTATTACATGAATCAACCAATTACATAATTAAGCTTCTTCAATTCTTTCTTTGAAGCATTTTTAGATGGTTTCTACAGTGAAATGATTTATCTATGCAATAAATTTTTACATGAATCAACTAATTACATAATTAAGCTCATTCAATTCTTTTTTTTTGGGACTAATACTTTCAAATTGGTGTCCGAATAAATTGGAACCGTGATCATGTGTGGTCATTTCTAGGATTTATCCCTCACATTGTAAGGTTTAAAATGTATAGTATGAATGTAGACTAGGTTTGAAAGAGCGAAAGATCGAATAGCATCGAGGCCTGAGCTTCTCTAGTGTGACCATTTGCTCGGGCGATCCTTCATTAAGGTGATGGGCTGCTGTCTTCTGTTCTATATTCACGACTATGTATCCATGATTTTGTAGTTGCTTTCGAGACCTTCGAGCACGGTCGGCTGGGGGGAATCACAGCGCTGACAGTTCAGCACCTTCACCAAGTGATGGAGCTTTTCAACAAGAGCAGACTGACCCTATGCCTGACGACGTTGAATTTGTATGAAATTCAATGATGAACCCTATTTTTCACTTGTCGCCGACATCATAGCCGTTGACGCACGAAACCTTTCACAGTTCTCCCCATGGCTTCGAATCTTTTTCGTACGTGAAGATTTCCATGCCCCATCTTGGGTTGACGATTGGAGGATAGCCTTCGCCGTGGCCGTTGATGTATTTTACTGGAATGCCCAGAAGTTGACGATGGCTAACTGCTGCTGGGCTAATACAGATCTGCTCTTATTCAACTACGATCACCCTGACTGCAAAGTGCTCTTGAGCAACAGCGGTGTGGAATCCCAGCGAGATTTGTGGTACAGTTCATTTTGCTCCCCTTTACGTTATCGATCTGTTTGTTTTCTATTTGAACATTCTTGCTCATAATTAAATAAAGCGAAGGAGTCTTCGATTCTGTAGGGCATATTTATGTTAGTATATATCATGAGTGATCTTTACCGGTGTTGTTGAGAATGTTGTTGCATGGGCTGGCTCATCAAACTCTCAACACTGATGATTTATTAACATGTGGGAGGCTAAAGGAAGTCAGGCTAGAGGCCGGAGCGAACAATCTCTATATCGGTGAACTGGAAGCTGCACTGCTGGAAGAGCGCAGCCGTCTCCAGCTGTTGGGTACCCACTCACATGGCCAAGCAAGCAGACAGCAAGCTTCCACAGACAATGAAAAATGCAACATCTGTCATTTTTGGACACTTGTGCTATTCCACTTCATTCCATTCCATATTCCGTAATTTCGTTGCACGAATGTCTGGCAACGACAACGGCAGAAAAAGCTTCAACGTGAAGTTTACGATGGAGGCAGAACAGGATTCTTTGCATCGACCGCAAAAAGCTAGTGTCATTAACTCAGTGCACACTGAGGCGTTACATTGGCTCAGGTGATTGCTTCGGTTGGTTGGCTCATGAACAGGGGACAGCAAATGAAGTTTTCCAAAAATGTCTGGCGTGATGTAATCTCACAACCACGCGAACTTGTGCATGCTTGTGATTACGACAGTGTGTAAACTGCCTGTTTGGACTGAAGCACAGTGGCCCACCCGCTTGTGACGTGCCATTTCAGGGTGTGACGACCTGAAGCTTCATCATCTAAGGTAATAACTGTAAATCGAGTTTGGGGATGCGGGCAGATGATTTGACTTCTCCTCAGTGGAACTCTTTGTGCGATGGTTGATACAAACCACACTCCATTCACCACGTGGCCCACTTTACAACAGTTTCATTCCACTTCTGTTTGTGGCATCTCTCTTTTCCTCAAATGTAGCATAATGCTAAAAACCAGCGCTGTTGGGACTTGAGGAATGCCCAGCAAGTCGCGATTGAATCGTTGACAAGCCATTTCATAAATTTAGCATCTGTTGCGAGCTACTTGGGTGAAGCAGTGGCGGTCCAGAGTACGTTGAATACCTTCTCAGAAATCTAGCTGATGAAGCGGCAACTCCAATTATGCAATGTACCAAACTAAGTTATCTCTATCAAAATTCGAAACTAATTCAACCTATAACTCGGCGAAAATGAGGAATCTACATCTCCCCAACAGGAACGTGGGTACAAGTGCACACAGTACAGCAAGTCTGAGCATTGTTCCCAACTGCTTAATGAATGTGGATCCTTCAACGAAGAACAAGATCACTAGATTTGAGCGTCTGACTGGTTCTAATCCAAAATCATATCCTACTGTCTCTTTTATAAATTACAATCTCCAGTTACCACTGTACAGAATTTCTCAACCTAGTATAACTCTTCAACATCATTCTCAAAATTGATTGCACTGCAAAACGAAACTTTAGATCTACTGATAAGTCCCACTGAATGCTTGACCTAAATCTTCACATGTGTCGGGAAGGATAACTTCTCAACAAAAATTTGTAATGAGCACTGAAACCCGACACATCCAATCAGTGAGCATGGCATCCAGATGTACCAGAATCCCACTTAATGCCGATTGATCGGGTCCCTGACTAAACCTGCACCGGTGCAGTTACTTGACATTATCTGTTCTCCCCCACGAGATATACTTGTCATCGTCCATACCACCCTCATACCATCTTCATTGTACGCGATTGACTTGTCATCGTCCATGTCATCGTCCATGCCACCATCCGGCAAGATAGGCCTCCGGATTGCGAAGAACAACGGTCTCACATCTCCCGGATATAGAACGAAGACACAGTCATCACATTCCGAAGGGTTCATAGTAACAGACTGGCTAGTTTCAGACACAGACTGCGGAATGGGAACCTGAAACGTCGGCACAATTCCTGGCCGCCGCTCGAATCTCCGTTGTTTGACAATGGACCAGAAGAGGAGTATCAACGCCACAGTGACTAGGAACATTATGCAAGTCATTCCCGTCCCGATGATGATGAAAGCACGAGAGTTCTGGCAGCTCACCACCGCTCCCGTCGATGAGTCTCGGCAAACGGCCTCGCCACTTTCAATGGGACTTGGCGCTGGTGTTTCCGCAAGCAGCTTCCTAGCCCCTGCAAATTTCCAGGCCTCACTATCAGTTTCAGATAGATTATGGTATGAACGATGAGCCAAGAAATGAAACAAAATTCTGTATAACATCTGCGGTTTCATTGTCTCATCAATTCTTAGGGTATACAGTCATCCAAAATCTTTAAAAAGTCTAGAGAGCAGAATGCGAGGATTTACTTCGCAGGCCGTGGGAAGATCAAGGTTTCAAAGACCACCACACGCACAAGGACAGCGCTCAGGAACAGACACCCTATCAAACAGACACCAAAAGAAACCGAAATGCAGAAAACGAACATTAATCACTAGAGTCAGAATTTCCAACTGTGCCTTCGTCAACATGACACGCACAACTGAAGTATCCTACGCAAAGAATTGCCGCTGGAAAAAGACGAATAAAGAAGAAGGAATAAAAAAAAAAAGCAAGGAATCAAATTCCTGTGAGATTGAGATTGAGAGCCCTATATTAATCGCAATCTAAGTAACAAACAGAGAAAGTGCACGAAGATCCACCTACCTTGAAGGCGACCGCCATATCTAGATCTAATTGTTTCCATGTCTAAATCCAATCGGGATGACCAATCCCCTAGAGGTATGTGAAGCGGAATCTGACAATCCAACCACGGCGGCGCACACCCAGCGTAGTAGCAAGCCTTCCGCTAACGGTAATCTCAACCGATCTAGATTCATATATGTTCCCGAATGACTACTACATCATGCTCTTTGCAATGAAGATTCCCATCACATTCACAATTCCATGGGTACTTCAAACGAGATCCAATCGCTCTCAGAGGTCAACCTTGAATCGCCATCCCCACCTCCGTGACCCAGGATTTAATTTTCTTATCATTAAACCTCTATCTCAAGTCGTGTGCTTTTCGTCTGCAAAACTCACGCAGACGTCCTCTATCACCAGGGAAGTTCAGAAAGGTCACTTGGGTGCGACTCAAAAGTGCCATTCCCAAGGGCTTGCAGGTTCCGTGGACTTTCACTGAACTTCCTCCGTGTGGACGGGTCTGCACTGTTGGAGTGATCGCAATGACGGAATAAGTCGGGAAAGACTTGGCACCAGGATTGGTCTAAAATAGTAAATGATCCCCAGATGAAATGGATAACCCACTGTCACCCATGAGCAAATCTGATGGAGCTCACGGCAGTGAAAGGAATCAGGCGAAGGATCCGGGTGACAGGCCCTATCGTCGGTACCTGATCTCAGGCGAGGCGGTGGCGGCGCAAGTGGCACCACGGCTCTTGACAGTCCTAGAGGAATCCGTTGTGACCGAGTCAAATACATTTCCAAGGCGACACTGGAGGCAACGTCGACAGCGAAGTAGCAACCGTCCCCAGGCGTCGCTCAGCTTGTGTACTACACGTGATGGAGATTTTATTTATTTATTTAATGATTTGTTATTTATTCAACATCTGGGTTATAACTGTCAAGTGATGGAGATTGAACTCAAATAGTTCGCAACCTAATCGTGCACTGACTCAACTACTGTTGCCGATCTAGATCCACCCGCACTTCCTCCTACAAAGTTTTGTGACAAATCTCACGGTGAACCTCAAAAGGTTATCACCAGTGAGTGAGGCTACAACCTTCCCCAGTGAGTGAAGTTGTGGGCACAAGTGGGAGCTGGGTGTTGACATTTCTGCAACAACGGACGCTAGAATAAAAAGTCCACCGAGTTGGAATCGCTTGTGCAGTAACCTGCTGCTATGATGAGATTTTTTTTTTTTTTTTTTTTTTTTTTCCCTTCTTCGGACGTAAGCTGGGGTGTAAAGCTGATGGTTTAAATTAACCAGAAAATGAATACAAAGCAACTTGGGCTCTTACACCCTGAAATTAAGATGAACCAAGAACAAGAGATTTTCAGTCCTAGTATTCTCTCGGCCCTCTAAGATTTGTTCCAATTTTTCAATAAGATACTATCACTATTTCGTTGTTTCTTTTTATTTATTTATGTTTTGAGTGTGACTTTTTGTAAGATCTTATAATATTTCGTCAAATTGTTCTAAATCAATTTTCTTGTATGAAGATCTTTCTACAAGTCAGTTTCAAAAGTAATGGCATTTTTTGAAGTCCATTTTATCTATAAGTACAATCTTTTTAAAAAGACCAAATTTTACTAAAGCAATTAAATCTTTAAAAAATATTTTTATAAAAACTTTTTAGATTCAAAACTAAGACTTTTTATAGTCTCCATCACTTTAAACTAAAGTTTACTATGTAAATTATATAAAATGTCCAATTTTACATATAATATACTTAAAGATATTCCTAAATTCTATAGATGATTATTTTGATTTTCTAGAAACAAAAATAATATAATATTTCATATTCTTAGAATTATCTTTTGTCCTTCACATATTAACAACTATTTCTTTGTACCAAAATAACTAGATGAATAGAAATTCTTTGCAAGCTATAAATCTAAATCAAATATTTTTTTTATAATATTAAAACAAAATTGAAGATAATATCAACTAATATATGGATTATTTAAAGTATTAAGGTTTGTCATTTGAAATAATTAAATACTTGTATAATTTGCAATTTACATCATTATATTAGATTCAAAGGACTAATAATTATTCAAGAATATTTTTTTTTATAAAATAATATTATTTTTATTTTTTATATTTTTCATTAGATTTAAGAACTATCTAAACAATTTAAAAAAATACTTCTTTTATATTGGTTTTACTTATAATATTATCAAAATATCTATTTTTAAAGACATAAAAATTATTAGTTTATATTATAAAATATAAAATTGAATACTAGTTTTGTAGATTTTATTTTTATTAGATCTAAGTATAGTAATCTAAAGATCTCAACCATACATAAATTCCATTTGTCTTATTATTTTCATAATTAGGTAATTTTGATTATTTTTTAAAAATCTTAATCCTAATTAATAAGCTTTAGTGAGTAATAGCTCCTAATTTAACTATCTATTTGAAATAAAAGATTTCACTCAAATACCACTATAAGTCTTCTATGTGTTCAAAAATAATTCACTCCAATCCAACTTATAGATCGTGCAAAAAAACATCCAAAAACCACACTAATGTTACTTGGCTACCAACTTGAAAGTTGATGCAAATGTTCCAATAATGATTTCTCTTTTTCCAATTATTAACTTCAACTCAAAATTGGTATGTACCTTAACCTTTAAGTCCTCTAATACCATGCCAAATTTCACCTTGATCTAACTAGTAGATCTTCAAATATTATAGAACCTCTACCCAATCCCAAACTGCCAACTTTTATTATCTTCTTGTATAAAAACCCAGATATCTCTCAATTGCATCATTGAATTATTACAAAATTTTACATACATTTAGCACATCTAATTAACCATGTATTATCAAATTTTGAACCATAGATGTGACACGAATTTTACGATCTAGCTAAGAGTGCTAGCCCTTATTATATTGTATAAATCCTAAGTTTCTAATACAAACCCTAACTTTGAATAATAATTGCAAAATCCAAACAAATCCTATGAAAACAAGCCTTATGTCTTTGAAACAAGATCTTAGCTAGTTCTTGAATCCTAATCTCCAATCTTCAAGTAAAACCCTATTTTGTCATAAGTTGTCATTTTAAAGGCTAGAGATCTAATTTTGACCATGTCTCACAAACGGTCAATCTTTGGGTATCAATCTAATCTATCTTAGGAATTTTTTAGCTCAATCCTACCTTCAACTTAATCCTAGTATCAACCATGCTAATTATTTATCTCTTCTAATCTAATTTTATCAATTTATGGTCTTTTTAAGGCAATAAAAGAGTCTCTATAGCCTAGAAGCTAAACTTACTAACCAACTTTTAACCTACTAACTATTAAGACAAGAAAATAGACTAAGAGGCTTTTATAAAAGCCATATTTAAATATCTTAAATTATTATTGAATCAAGATAATTAGATATTAATTAAAATTTTAATTTTGATTATATTTTTACTATATAGTTTTATTACATCTTAACAATGTGGCAATATTCAAAAAGACCTCCAACACGTATTGACTTTGCTAAATACATGATTTAACTTGCAAAGTAAGTTATCTATATGTGTGTCACATAATTAGCTTATTTTATAAGCTACTAATACATGTGTTATGTGGCTAAATTATTGAATGAGTTTTTAGTCTATCAATTAATTACAAATATGTCTAAAATCAAAGCAATATCTATAAAGCTTCTAGGAAGCTTTTCTAAAAGATTTTATAAAATTAGTTTTTTTTTTACCTACTTTTATTATATTATGTAAGTTATTTTTGAAGTAAATCTATATATCCATGACATTACTTTCTCTTCTACGAACAAATTTTATATAGAGCTATCATCATCTTTTATAGATCTTGGTATTCTTTATCTTAGTTTTGTTGGATATTGTTGATGAAAAGCCTCAATTTCTTTTGGTGTGTTTGCAAGATTTTCTTCAACTTCTATATTTTCTTTTTTTTGATGTAGATGTTGGAAATTAAATAATATGCATTGTTGGTCATATTGTATACACTTGAATTTTAGGTGCTTATACTATTCTTGAAATATTAATCTTGTCCTTCATCTTTTCTTATTCTGTAAGAAAATCCACATTATTTTTAATATTTTTTTACTTTGTTGTTAATCTTTTAACTTCTTCTTTGTCTTCAAGAAGCAATTCCAATTTTTTTGTAATTTTCTATCAGCTACTTAAAGAGATAATTCAATCTTCTTTGGCTCTAATGTCAACTTTTTCACCTTTGATGATTGAGAATATTGCCTTTCAAACTCCCTTAATAGCTTTGTTGCTTATAAATTCTTGTTAGGTTGTTTAATCCATTCTAGAAATAATTCTTAGTAATACAATTAATGTCCTCTAAGAAATATTCTTCTTTTAATACATGTAAAAAAATATCTCTCATGAACTTTGATAATGCTTCATAATTGATATAATATGTTTTCATATTTCCAATACCATGATAAGTCCAAATAGCTCAATTATCTTGTTTTTAAAGACCCGATTTAATTCTATTTCTTGCACATAATATCTTAGATACTTTGAGATGTCTCTTCCATTAAATTGGTCAATCTTATTAATTACTACTTGTAATGCTTCGGTTGCTAAAGCTTCCTTGAAATTATTACTCTTTTGTTGTTGCATAGATATTATAAAAGCTTAGAACATGTTTGTAATAGTTGGATCCATATACATACCTTGTCCTTTATTAGAAGCTCCACTGGCACATCTACTTGAAGCTCTTTCTATAGCTCTTTCAAAGCTCTTGCTCTCGTTATTTATTAAATAAATAAAAATAAAAAATAAACAACTCTAACACCTCTTACTTTAAGTTTTTATGTTAGATTCACTACTTATGTCATATTATGTGTGTTCTTGCTTCAGAATGCATTAGGCACCTAATTGTAGAAGGTAAATAGAAATACAACAAAAATCCTACCAAATACAATAGAATCTTAAATAAACTTTAAGTAAACCTTAATAATCCTAATCAAACTTTGATGAATCCAAAATAAATTTAAAGAAGTTATAAAAGAAATACAAAGAAGTTCCAAATTAATCTCAAAGAAAAATAACAAAAAATCTTTAAAAAAATATAAAAATAAACCTTCAAAGAAATAAAAATAATCTTAAAGAAATATTAGAAATAGAAAATTTTAAATAAACCATAAAAAATCCTAAAGAAATATTAAAAATAAAATTTTTAATTAGATCTTAACTAACTTCTATATCAAATTTTAATTAAAATCCTAATTGAATCTTAATCAAATTCTAGGTCAAACCCTAATAAAACCATAATAAAATCCTAAATCTTAGATAAATCCTAAATAAATCCTAATCAATCTCTAGTCAAATTCTAAACCAAATTTCAAATAAATCTTAATCCTAATCAAATCTTAGACAAATCTTAATCAATATCTAGTCAAAATTTTAACCAAATCTCGAAAAAATCCTAATCTTAATAGAATCCTAGACCAAATCCTAGGTCCTAATCAAACCA